TTTATTTGGATTTTTAGAGATTCTTTCAAGTGCTGTTCAGCAAATATTACACCTTCAAAAAAAAATAATGATAAATAAATACAGTTGATTTTATGATGGTCAATTTAGACCCTAAGAGATAATTTCCCCTTTTTTTCTGTGTTGAGGCATTAGCTCCTCTGGGGTTCCTAGAAAGGGTCCTTTGAGGGAAGAGAGAGTGCTCTTAGAAACCCAATGCTGGGTTTAAATCCTTTACCCCCTGGTGAGCTGGTGTCCTGTTTCCAAAGCCAGGAAGCTTTGGAAAAGCAGCCCACACTCTTGCTGAGAACATGGGCCTCTCTGCACTGCACGCCCAGCACGCCAACGTGCAATTGAGGTAATTTCGGCTGAGTGCAAAGTGCTCCATTTGAGACTGAAATCACGCCAAAGACGCCTCACAAAAACCACATTCAGCACCTCCAATTCCACATTCCACTCTGCAGCGCAGACTCCATCATTACCCAGGATTCCAAAAGCTCTTGGCCACATCAAATAAGAGCAGGAAGGAAAACAATAGCAAGGGACACAAACCTGGAATCCTAAAGAGGGAGCCGCCAGAGATGTTGGCTGAGCTCTGAAAATAGACGTGGCTTAATGAGCAGGAGGAAGATCAGATTTCTCCAAAAAGGCAGATTCAAGCAGGTAAGACATAGATCATCACACTATTGTGATGGGGTGCGTCCCAGTTCAGCCCTTTTGCAGGCTGTTTGGCAGGACTTATTAAAACTAAATAATGCACGTGTCCTAAGGTGCAGACAGTTCTCCTCTTGGCACATATCCTGGAGAAAAAAATGCAGATGGCTGCTATGCATGCAGGAGAGAGACACCAAGGATTTTCAACACTGAGTTGCTTGTAACAGCCAAGAGTTGGGAAATGATCTCATATCCATCTATGGGGGAATAGCCACACTGTGGAAAACTGCAGAGCAAAGGAACTGTGCCTCAAGTGGGACAGATAATGTTATAGGACAGGGAGAGGGGCAGCCCAAACCCCGCAAACCTGCCTATTCTAAATGGGTTCTGCCATCCGCCGCATCAACACAAAACATATGACACTCTAATGGGAAGGATCTTTAATAAAAACTAGGAAACAATACAGGTGAGGCAAAGAGTCTAGTTTCTAGATGAAGCACCCAAAGTTACCCATCCCCTCGTGGGTAAAACTCCATCCATATGGGGTCGGCCCAGAGCAAGGCCCCAAAGCCTGCCACAAGTCTAAAGCATCTTCCAGTGGGGACCCACAGAAAAGGGTCACAAACAACCGGACAAGCCCGGAAGGAAAAGAGCAAAATCAACACCCAGATAAAAGCTGCCATTGTCACCTCCCCACGGGTCTCACCCACATCTGTGTCACCCAGTCCACGACCAAAAGACAAGCGCAGTTTCTTTACTTGTCTCTAGGCTCCATGTGCCTCCTCCAGGTCTCCTGGCTCCATCCTGCTTCCTTCCTCAGTCTCTTCTGCAGCTTCTTCTTTTGCTGCTCAGCTCCACCCTCCCTTGGGTGGGGCAGGGAACCTCCCCCTTTCCTGGGGACCACCCTGTTGCAATAATAATATCCACACACACCTGTGGATGTTCCAGAAGCTCTTTTAAGTGTATCACACACATTGAACTATTTATTCTTTCTAACAGCCCTTGAGGAGGGTCTTCATTTATACCCACAGAGCAACCGGGGCACCAACTTGTTGAATAACCTACCCAGGATCACACAAGCACACAGGCCTTTAAACGCAGGTCATTCAGACCCAAAAGTCATACTGCTTCACATTCTAAATAGTAAGTATTTCATTTACAGATTAACCATGTATTTTTGCCCTTTGAATTAAAAGAGAAAGCCAGCTGCAAAATAACATGTAGGGGAGTGAAAGTCTGCTACCCAAAATAAGGTTAATTTCATGGGAGGGGCTCGAAAGCCTGGGGTAGAGGTTGCTGTGGAAGAAGATATTTACATATAAACTTCTGTCAGGGTGTGTACCAGGAAGACCTCAGCAGAACTTAATCTGCATACTTTTGTCTACTGTGCCTTCTCTGGCAATCTCCCTAACTCACCTTCCTTATCTCTTCCCCCGCCCCCAATTTCTCTGTCTTAGCTGAGTTATTTGAGATGGTGTCTGCAGCCACATGGGGAGTGACTCAGTCACTCTGGGTCTCTCCCATGTCTACAGGAGGGAAACATGTTATCATTAAACTTCTTTTTCACTTTTTTTCTTGACAATCTCTCTGATGCTTATTTGATTATTTGCCAGCCTAGAAGAACCCAGGGGGTTCAGGATGATTTTCTTTGTGCCCCAACAGACACATTCAATATATACCTGTTAAGCTGGAGGCTCAGGTGACACAGGCCTGTGCCAGTGACCTCCCAGCCCCTCAGCTGTGTTAAACAAACTTGGCTGCCAACTGCCTCTGACACAATCCTTTCTTTGTTTCACAGGTTCATGATAATGTACCTTCTAAAAGCACAGTATTATTATTTGAAATATGTTCATTCCATTGGGTCTTGCTTTAATCAAGTTTGTAGTCCTGGCACCCTTCTGTCATTTTAAGATGTGCCTGGCCCAAAAGCAGAAGGGAAAGAAGAAGCACTTGGCAATGTTAAGAGGGTATATTTTGGAGTCTGACCACCTAAATTTGAATCTGTGCTGCACCTGTGTGTCCTTGGGCAAGTGACCTCCATCTTTGCAAGCCTCATTTTCTTCATCTTCATGCAAAATGGGGGTAATAATAGTTCATACCTTGTAATAACTGTTCATACACAATTCTTGTTAAGCATCATAAGCCTCTTCCTGGTCTACACTCAGAAGGGAAAAAAAAACACTTAATTTCTACCTTCTTGGGGAGGTACAGCCCTTTTCCCAAAGAGGAAGGGTAGTAAAGTCAGCTGGACATGTGACATTTACTGACCATGTCAGAGCAGAGGCATTTGTCACCAGGAAGGCTACACAGTCTATAACTCCTCTTCCTGCCGATTTCCATTTTGGGAACATGCCCACTGAGCGTGGTCCTGATGAATGCCCTGAGCCACTGTGGAGGCCATAAGGGGAAGGAGACAATCAAGCTCCTCCAGTCACATGCGTTCTGCAGGGGCTTGGTCTCTGGGTTCCCAGGGGCTTGGTGACCAAAGAAAGCAGAAATGGTTGAAGTGAACCAGGCAATTTCTGCTCCTGGACATTTTCTGTAATTCCTCAAGCTTATTCCCTTGCAAGCCTGGTCCTCCAGGCCCTCATTCCTTCTAGGCACTCCCATAGCCTTCTCATATATTCTCTTTTAGGTGAAGAAAGCCAGAGTTAGGTACACAAGATGCTATGAGTATAGGAACTAATATGACCCATCCAGTTTCCACAGCCTCACAGGGAAGTGTACAGCATTCTCACTAGAGGCTTGGTTATAGAACACCCTCCCTTCCTGCCTCCCCCTAAAAGGCAAAACCTGTTTAGAACAAAAATAAGAAAGAAGGGCAAGCAAATAGTGACTGAACCAATAGTATCTGACTTTTCCGTTCTACAGCCCCATTCGAGAAACCAGACCCAGACCCAAGCTTAATCTTATGGGTCTATTTAGAAGTTTGGCTAATTAATGACCATAAAAGCAGCTTGGACTTTGCAAGCCTTTTATAATGTGCCTCATTTAGACATAATGGGCTCAAGATTGCCTCTGGCATCCTCAAGAAAATTAAAAATCCAGTAGGCAGTAGAATTGCCACTACGTGGTCTTCCTATTACTTTTATTTTTATTATGATTGCAAATAGCAGCATTACTAACAGTACCTTGGACAAGGGAGCTTCTCCAGGGAAGTCCTAGCTATTTCCCAATGTCCACAGTATGATTTATTAGCCCTTTAGCCAGCAGCATGCTGGCTCCTTCTGCATGACATCATTTAACTCTTGCCAAATGGAGGGAGGTGGAGGGTTGCTGAGCAGGTGGGGCCACAACAAACGGAGACACCATTCATTACCCTCCAGCCTGATATTATATGTCCTAATTGGTATTTGTCTAATCCTTGGCTTCAGGCAAGCAGGTGGCTGGCACGTGTGTGGGCTGAGCAAGATTTGGTATTCTGGAAGTCTGGGTTAGCATGCAGTACAGAGAGATAACAATCCATTAAAGCATGGTGACCTGGGATTAGCAGCCTGGGGACCTTAGTAAAAAAACCTTTTGCTCAGTTCCTGGCATGCAACTTAGTCCTTGATATGAATTTTAGACCATATACTGCCATGAGGCAGGATGTTTCTTGAGGGGGGGGGTGGCCCTTGACTACTGACCCTCTACTCACCCTTGGTATGCAACTATACGACTCACCTTTTGGTGTGGAGCCACGTTTTATCTGACTATGTACAGCTGCCAATGCAAACCCACCCAGAACTTTGTAGAAACTAACAGTGTATATAAGCCCCTGACTTCCTACAGACGGGGCTCAGCCTTGGGATATGAATCTGCTGAGTCAGCAGTGGTTCATTAAACCTGCTTCTTGTTAGCCCTGGTGTCCATGTTTCCTGTGTGTCATAGAATACCATAAACTGTCATGAGAGCCACGACTGATAATAATGATGATGATGGTAAAAGAAGAAAGAGCAGGAGGAGGGAGAGAGGGTGAGGGAGAAAGATAAAGAGGAGCAGGGGTAATCAGAAGAAAAAGAAGAAAAAGGAGCAGTCTAATCATCAGGGCCCTTTGTTGCAAATAATCAGTTGCAAATAATCAAAGTTCCTCTACCAAGTTTTAAGTTTGAAAGGAAAGAAGATCCTGGTGTCTCCACAAAGGTCGAAGACTCATGATCAGGGATTATATTGTCAGGAACAAAACCCAAATTGCATGCTTCAGCAAAGACAGCTGCAGTCACAACTTGTTCCTGACCCCAGTTAATAGTAGTGACTCTGGGTTTGAAACACCACCTGCTGATGGTCTTGCCCCTAAAAAGCTGAGCCTGTCAACCACCACGCTCACTCAAGATGGATTCCACCCACACCTGTTCATCGGCATTGCTTACCTGCAAACTGAAGTTCTGCATAGGTGAATCAAATTGATGGGATTAGGTCAGAGGCAGCCAAAAGCAGTGGGAGTGGTCGGACTGTGGTGAAAAGATGGAGAGAAAGCCTGGTTAATGGAGAATTTGAAAGCAATATAATAAAATTGACTACAGTTACTCTGCTTTACATTATTACCATGAGCCAGTAATTCTCAGCAATGTCAAAGCGATAATACACCTCCAGGTGGGTAGTCCATGCTCACCTCGGCTACTAAGTCGGCTGCCAGACTGGTTCACACCCCTGTGTCCCAGCTACAAAAGCAGGGTGCATCCATTAATGGGGATAAAAACAGAACCTACCTCATGAAATGATTGTGAGAAAAAATATGAATCAATATTATAAAGACGTCATGAATCCTCAAATTGATCTAGAGAGTGTAATCCCAAAGTCCCAGCGAGTTTTTGTATGAGTGAAATTTTATAAGGGAATTCTAAAATGTATGTGAAAAATCAAAGAGCTAAGATTATCACAAAGAAGAACAAAGGCAGATGATTTTCACTACTGGATATCAGGAGCTATTATAAAGGCAGAGTAATTAAGGGGGCATGCTTTGATACAGGAAAGATAAACAGTGGAACAGCACAGATTGTTCAGAAACAAACCCACAGGCATAGAGGAACTGATTGGTTACAAAGATGCAACTAGAGAACAATGGAGAAACAGTAACTTTTCAATGACTGGTGCTCGGGCAATTGACCATCCATTTGGAAAAATCTGGATCTTGATCTCTGCCTCACACTCTACAAAAATCAAGTCCAGGTGAACTGTGGATCCAAATGTAAAGGGGGAAAATGGGGAAGCTTCTTAAATAAGGGACCAGGAAAATGAATAACTATAAGAAAGTGAAAATCAAAATCAACAAAAACTATGAACCAGAGACACTCTATGGGGGTAGGGGGCGGGAGGGGAGGGATTGGGGTCAAAATAAGGGGGTTGCAATTGTATGGGGAATGTAAAAATAAAATTTATTATAAAAAATAAAATAAAAGACTATATAGAAGCTATCTTGAGTTTGTAGTAGGTAAAGATGTTTTTTAAAAAGATACCAGGTGACTGACATAGGTGAGCCTGCTTTGTGCAACTGGTTCAGAATAAGGAGGAACCCACAAATCAAATGCCTTGTCTAAGTCTCATCTCTTACATTTCATTTTCTTAGCAACTTTTGAAATCCCCAAATGTTAAGGCTGAAGGATTGCAATGGAGGAGGGAATTTCAAGATGCCCTTCCTGGGAATCATCTGTGTCTAGTCTACTTTGTGGAGGAGTGACTCTGATGTCATATATAGTAGATTTTTATTATGTGCCAGGCACTACACATAGCACTTTGCCATCATTTTCGTATTTGTCTGTATTTCCGCCAGTGGTTGATGCCTGAGACAGTCACCATGGAAACCACAACACAGAAGGTCTTCCAATCTCTCTTTACTATCTCATACTTTAATATCTGAAATTTTTAATTTACAAAATTAAGACACAAAAAATCAATCATGAAATCGATGTTTAAATAAATGCCTCCTGCTCTCTGTTTTGTTCAATGCACCTGAACATCAAATTGATGACCATAACTTTTAAAAATATATTCCCATGCATTTCCTTAGAGAATCCCTAGGATATAGTTATAGCTGGAATTATAATTTTCATTTCTCAAATATGTAAACTAAGACACACAAAAAGCACCTATCAGGGCTTGAAACCAATGTCAAACATTGTAAATCATATCTACCATGAGTGGAAGAGTTGGTTGAGCTCAAGTGACAGCTGGAATTACTGTATATGGGATTCTTCCTTAAGAGGCAAGAATGCACTTAACCTTCACTTCAATTGTCCTTGTTCCAAACTTCTCTCCTCATTCCCAAACTGGTCCTCTTGCCTCCAGTTTCCCCTGATTTACACATTACGTACCAACACTCAGATTTTTCTACAACGCAATTCTGATATGTCATTTCCTTGCCCCAAACCATTGAGCACCGCCCCTTACTTTTGTTAAATACAGCGTCTGTAGTCAAACACCACCAGAATAGATCTTGGCTCAAATTTTGACACCAGTATTTCTCAATTGAATGCCTTGGGTCTACTGATATAACTTCTCTGAGTTTTGGTTTCCTTACCTGTAAATTGGGGATAACTATGGTTGATGTAACATTAATCTAATGACTGAGTGTGATGGTATGCTGGTTTTAAAAGACAGAATGGAACACTTGAATCAGTTAATAAAACCTTTTTTTTTAGGCTTGCTGTACACCAAGTTTGGTGTTCATGTTTTTCAGGCAGGTCATTATCAAATCTGTACAACTATCCCCTGGTGTAAGAATTGCTATCTTTTGCATGTTTATAGATACAAGGAAACTGACACTCAGAGGTGTCACCCACCTGGTAAATAATAGAATTTAGTTTCAAACTCAGATTTCACTGCTTTCAAAACTCATACTTTTTCTGCTATTCTTGGGCCACCTACATCAAAATCACCAGGGGGCTTGCAAAAATGACAATCTCTGTATCCAAGCCCAGACTGCTAACCTTCCAACAGAAGCCATTCTCCCTTTTCTTCATAGTGGCTGAGAATATGTCTGCATAGCCAGAGACTGTATTTCCTTTTTCCATGTGACATTCTCATCAGTGGAATGTTAGAAGTCATGGCTGCCAGCTCCTAGCCATGATGGGTATGAAATAGAAGCATCTTCTCTATCCTCTCTCATTGACTGGGACCTGGATTTGGTAGGAAATCAACCTTGACTGAGCAGAGAAGGGCAAGTTAACATAGAGCAGAGAATCTCACTATCAAGAAACCTGGATCTCTAGATGTTGGCATGGTTTGCTGATCTATAGCCATAAAACAAGTCACCCTAAATCTTAGTCACTTTAAACAATAGTCATTTATTAGGCAGATGCATCTAAGATTTGGGCAGGGATTAAAGGGGCTGGTACCAGGTGGGAAGGCTCTACTTCCATAATTCACATCCATCATTGACAAGTTGGTGCTGGATCTTAGCTGAGAGCTCAGCTGGGGCTGACAACCAGGAACCTCAGCTCTTTTCCAAATGTGCCTCTACATGGGTGATTGGGCTTCCACACAACATGGCCGCTGAGTTCCAAAGCTGAGTATTCCAAGGGGAAAAAATATAGAAGCCTATAGTCTTATGAGATCTGGACCTAGAAACTCTTATAGCACAGTGTTAACTCCCACAACATTCCATTGCTCACTCAATCACAAAGTCTGCCCAGATTCAAGGGGCAAGGAGGGTATCAACCTCATTCTTCAATAAAAGAAGTGACAAATAACATGTGGGCACCCTTAATTTTCCACATATCATGAAACAAATCTATTCACCAATGAAAAACACTCACCTCAGACTGTAACATGTAGAGGAGAAATAATTTCTTTAATCACTAAACTTCATTGTTATGGGATCTTTTATGATCATAGCTTTGTCTTTTACCCTAATGAATTGTCCCAGTGAATCAGAACAGGATGCAGTGGTTGATACAAGGCCAAAGATCTGCATTCTAACAAGAAATCTGATTTCTTAATGCACATCAGGATTTAACATCCGCTCTGCTAAACAAGGCTACTCCATCCAGTTAATGGCCTCCCACTGGTTCCAGGCTAGCCCTTTTATCTGAGCACTCATGGGATCCATCTTAGAACAGACAACACCTCCACAGTGTTGGTTTCAACATCTCTGACCTCATTAAATCCCACTTGGAGGGGCCTTTGAGCTCCTCTGAAACCCTCGTGCACACTGGAGCTCTTAACACTCTAGGGTTACAGGAAGCTCACATCATTGGCAAAACTGCAGACATTTTGGTAAAAGGGAGTGTTTGCTGATTTTCTAAGATATGGCTGCTACAGATAATCAAATAAAAGTAAAAAATCAAATAAATATAAATCAAATAAAAATTTAAAAGTCTATTTCAGAGGCCTCTGGAGATCAAAAACTGAAGGCATATCAATGCTGCTTACCTGCATGGACTTCAAATACCACAGACATGACAATTAATTAATAGTGAACCACTTTATGGGTCATCTACATTTTACATAACAGGGGAGCCAGGTTCCTAACCAGCATGTTTAAACTAAGCAAGAAAGTTACAGGAAAGAGTATGTATAGATATTAGTGAATATACCCAACCAACACACAAAGAACATTTAGACAAACATCTGGCTATTCAAGGACCCTTATCCCCTGGGGGGCAGGAGGAGCCTATAAAAACAGATCTCTAACGCAAAAGCCTTCTCCTCTTCTTAGTTCACATATTAAGCTTCCTGATGGCTAATATTGAATCCCTGTGGACTTAATTTGGTAATTTTCCTTAACAGAGATTATAATACTGATCCCATGACATTGTTGCAAAGATTACAGAATAGGGATAGTCATCCAGGGAATGTTCACAAGGAGGCCCCCTAGAACAGGTAGTGCAATGTTCAGAACAAGGTGGCTTATGTTTACAACAGAGTGAACATGGGTCCCTCTCACTTTCATCCCATTTCTGGTAAATAGCTTCTAAATCAGGAATGGCGGCCATTATGGATTGTTTGTATACTCCCAAAATTCATATGTTGGAACCTTAACCCTTAAGGTGATGGTTCTAGGGGGCCTCCCCTGGTGGCGCAGCAGTTGAGCGCTGGGCTGCAAAGCTGCCCGCAGCCTCTGCAGTACCAGTTCGATCCCCGGCTGCCAGTGAGGGTCCCACATGGTGCGCAGACCTCTCCTGCCACCCACTGCTCCCCTCAGCAGTGTATTTCATCAGTCTGTCTATTCTGTTCCCTGCTCTGGCTCTGGTGAATTCTCTCACCCTCCCGCGCTTCTGACTGTACCTAGCACTTGTATAAATAAATAAATAAATCTTTACAAAAAAAAAAAAAAAGATGATGGTACTAGGAGGTGGGGGATCTTTGGGAGGTCATTAGGTCAAGAGGGTGGTGGCCTGGCCCATAGGATCAGTGCCCTTGTGAAAGGGACCCCAAAGATCTCCCTCACCCCTCACTAGATGGTATAAGATGTTGGGACTGCTTATGAACCCAGAAGCAGGCCTTCAGCCAG